TGGGCCACAGAATAGTTCAGTCTCCTGCTACTTCAGTTTCCCTGCTGTAGGGCAGGGATGGTATTTCCCCACACAAGCTGCGATGACCCATTGATTAATAAAAACACAGTGATTTGCAGCTGCAAGATGCCAGCTAAAATGACAGTGCAGTTTTCCTTCAAAATGTAACCTGTGCCAAACTCTGCATTTACATTAAATCTGTTATTCTGAAGTCATTGTAATCAATTCACGTCAGCGCGTATTGTTTGCCCTCTCCTTGGACAAGTCTCTGCTGCTGGAAAAGTCAGCTTTGCCAGTCGTTTTTGTAGCAACAGTGTAAACGTTATGTCATTGGCGTGGAGCCACGGTGAGTCAGGCTTGGCTTTGGGCAGGCTCCTGGAGAGAGAGACTGGGAGAGAAGATCGGTCTCAAGTCCGAGGTAGAGAATATTGGCACGGGTGGCCCCACGAGTGCCAAGAGCAGTCCTAAACCTTTCGTGCTAATGCAGCCTGAAATGCTGTAACAATACGGATGTAGCCTACAAATAAGCAATATTTGCCAAAGATAGGCAGGACCTGGAAGGCTGGTGATGGGGGAGAGCATAGCTGCATGTAGTGCAGTTTCCTTTGGGTCCGTGGATGGTGGGAGCGTGCTGTTACTCCATGAAGAGGGCTGCTTCCGGGGGTAGTTGGGTATACAGGCTTCCACATGCCTGCTCCTGTGTCTCCAAGGGACTCGATACCTCTGTGCATTAAGATGAAGGCAAATCTATTAGAAAAATAAATTGGAAAAAATATTGGCAGCCGTGGTTCTAGTCACTTTTCGATTCCTGCGCTTGAATTTTCAGCACGTTTCACATATCTGTCTTTAACCTTTCAAAAACACACATGCACTAGACAGCTCATTGCCCATCATTGGAAAGCACTGCTGACAGTCTGCTAGGCAGGCAACTTGCTGATCTATTGCCTGTGGAAAGCAGCCTGAGGATAATGATTAGGCAAATGTTAATGATTTGTCAGCATCTCTAGTTCATTTATTTTTATCAACACACTGAGCTTATAACTAGAGACAATATTGATCAGTGCAGCTATTGACACTCTCGCTTCCATCTCCCCCTGCGCACATGTCATGTCTTGAGTGAGGAGGGAGATTCCAGCTTGTATCATGTGCTGTACAAAAGGTCACAGCAGCAGCTCTGGGTGCTACTCAAATATCCATAATAAATCATGAGGATGAATGCTTTTCTTTGGTGTTATTTTACTGGGATGGTTTAACCACTTTCCTCTATATTAACCTTCTGTATGCGATTTTGTTGGTGGGTCACGGGGAGCTCAGAAGTTAAAGGGCAGCTGATTTCTCCAGGGCTAGGATCACTAGGATCAACCGGCTGCATTGTGCTGGTCTCAGCAGAGGGGGAATAGAGGATTGTCAGAGCCACAGGAAGGCAGTCCTTGCCCTTTCGTGTTCTAAGCTGCTTGGACAAGTCCCAAGCACTGGCCGTTTCCAGCTGCACGTGATAATAGATTGTCAATGGGAATTTGTTTTCGAGTTCCCTGGCCATTGGTAGTAAACAGTGGAAGAACACTGGTGCAGGGACCTCCTGTCTGGTGGCACAGGGGAACTGGTAGGGACAGCAGAACACGTTTCCCTGCTGGTTCAGATCTTCCTGTTGATCTTGCCTTTCTGGAAAGATCCTCTCAAGCAAGCTTCAGGTGAAATCTGCGAGAGGGACTTGTTCTGGAGGGGAAGCGGATTCGCCTCCAAAGCAGACACAGTGCAGAGCGCAGGACAACTTCCTCCCGCTGCATTCCCTTAGCCGGGACCTCACGGCTGTGCACAGGCAATACTCTGCTGCGCTCAGTAGCCCATTTCATCCTTGACTTCTCCTGACTTAACTGCAAAGGAGAGGGCTGTGGATTATGGATTCCTTTCTTTTTCAAAATTGAAGACCCACCATCTTACTCATTTTCGTTGTTTGTACCACATGTATCTCAAAGGTCTCTGAGCTATTGTGGCACCCCTGAGGAGTCACAGTTTTGTGTTATTATGACCCCAGCTCAGGACTCAGTGACCCAGAAGAGCAGGTTACACCCTTTAAACTATCTCTGATCAGGGTGTTAAGTACAATTTTTGTGATTGCTGAGTTTCTGGGTTTGTTTTGTTCCTCAGCATCTGCTTTTGCTTGGAGACCTTTTGCCTCTTGAGCCAAAACCAGCAGAGAACCTGCCTGAGATCCCCGCTGGAAAGGCTGTTGAAAGTTGTAGATCAGAACACAGTGGGTCAGGAGGAGTTTGGGATTGGAACGTGATCCTGCCAGTTGCCTGCAGATACAGTTCCCAAAGGTGCTTATAAGAAGGAGAAACTATTGATTAAATTCAAGTAAAGCCAAAAGACAAGTCAGGTTCATCATCTGTGCCTGCTTCTGCCTGTAAAGTTTTGTCCACTTTCACTAGAATGAGATTTGGCCCAGGGAGATGAGGCCTGGGCCGAGCGTACTGCAGGAGTGATCTGGCACGGCCGTTCCTCCACTGCTGAGCGAGGAGCAGTTCTGCTGATCTCCGCTTGCTTTTTGAGAGGCTCCTTTCTGTGTTGGGTTAATTCCTTGGCCAACTCTTTGTCCCTGGCGCTGAAGCACGCCCTCAGAAAAAGAATTAATGAAACACAGAAGGAAGGAAGAAAAGAGCTTTGATTTCCAACTTGTGCTGCCTTCATGTTTGCATGGAAATCCATTCTGCAGCACAGGGCGGGATCAGAACGCCGGGAACCCGGGCTGCTAGGCAGGCTTGGTCACAGCTGTGCTCCTGTCACCCGTAGAGACCATTTGGTGCCTGAATTTGAAAGGTTACCTCATCCACAGCCTTAACTGATCCTTCCTACAGGTATCATGGCCCAGGCAGCGGCTGAACAGAGCATCTGAAGGGGGAGGAGGGAAGGTGCCTGATCCACCCCGGGTGCCTTTGGGGATAGTGATTAAAGTGAGGAAACAGAGTTAAACTTTTCTGTCTTGCACTGATACTGCAGGAATGAAGGAAAGAGAGAGCACCGGAGGCTTTAGAGAAGCAGAGAGCTGGAGCCACAGACAAGTGTCCTGATGTTCGCAGCTGCAGGATAAAGATCAGAAATGGAATATAGTTCAGGACGTTTTGCAACAGCTTCCCCAGCAATGGCTGCTCAGCTGTGGCGCAGAGGAGAATAACTGACTCCACAGCACTGGTATTCTCACTGCCAGCAGGGACATACTTCTTGATAAGACACAGATTTTACATCAGAAATAAACATTTCAACACAATTTTTGCGTGCCCATGGAAATATATAGAAGGGTTCGCATTAGGGTTGCTTCTAACGCGATTTGACCCTTTGAAATGGCGTTGTTGGTCTTCAGTCACTTCTGCTAAACACCTCCAAGGCTCCAGCAAGCCCTCCTTCAGTGCCAGTGAGCCAGTCTTAATACTAGAGCCATGAGATTTTTCAAATAAGAAAATAGACAGGAATAGCTTCCCCTAATTATTTGTCTCACCTATCCTTTATCCTGTACTAAAAATGAAGCAGGGCAGAAGTGTCTTGCCTTTTTCCAGGTCAGTCACTCATACTTTTTTGTGACAGCTTTGAAATGGTTTGGGTGAGCAAGTCCCAGGGAGCTACAGGTCCGGCATATGCATAAACCTCGTTTTACACTGCACTGAAAGGGAAGCCAAACCAGTCTGCATGTTTCCCTCTGGCTTCTGATCCACTTCACGGTCTAGTTCAAGGACTTGCGTGAAGCTTCTGGCTTGGCGCTACATAAAAACATTTAGCTTGAACATGAAATTTCACTTGGAATGATGGCAAACGGAATTATAGGCGCGAGATATGGGGCCACCAGATCCCACTGGGACTATACAAAGGGTCATCCTGACAGTAAACTTTCTTGTGGTTTATCCAGCCCACTTTGAAGGAAACCACGCAGTGTGGTTTCTGCCACTTCTCTTTCAGAGGGCCTTTGTCAGCCAGATAACCCTGGCAATGAGGAAACATTTTCTTGCCGTGTAGCCTCATTTCCAAACATGTTTCATGTTAACTCATTCCTGCAGTGTCCCCTGGGGGTGGGGATACCAAGGAATTAAGGGCATACTGCCAGAGGCCAAAATGCTGCAGGTTCATTTGAGGTCAGCAAGCGATGAGCTGTAAATGCAAATATCAACATCCTGCTGGTACAACAGCTTTGCGGGACGCTTGCCAATGTGCCTTTCTCAATACATCTTTTTCCCCCCTTCTGCTTATAGCTGTCCTGATGTCCCTGTAAACTCATCCTGGAACTTCATTTGAGGAAAGGATCTACTGAATCAAAAGCTTCCTTCCCATAACTTCCCTCAAGATGGCATCCGATAGCCCCGAGTCACTAATGACCTTGTGCACAGATTATTGCCTTCGCAACTTGGAGGGGACTCTCTGCTACCTACTGGACAACGAAACTCTCCGGCTCCATCCTGACATCTTCTTGCCAAGCGAGATTTGTGACAAACTTGTCAATGAGTACGTTTCAGGCCTGTGGAGAAGCTGTTGCCTGGTTTGGGAAGGAGCCGGGAGCCCAGGGAAGGGGGAGTATGGGAAGGGATAAAAGGGGAAGAAAAAATGGGGAAGAATTCATAGGGCTGTTTTTTTCCAATTGATCCTCATATTGGAAATAAGGATTTGCATTAACTTCGGAAGGAGGTGTCCCCAGGGGTTATTGTACTGCTCTATATCATCCTAGTTTCTGTGGAAATCACCATTTCCACATAGGTAAACCCAGAATGAAACAAACAGTCACTGCTTCTTCCAAGAACATCAGTAAGCAACAAAGGAGCCTTCCCATTTCCCACCACTGAAGCATTACAGCTCTCTCAAACCAGAAAAATAAGAGTGCAAAGTGCTAACAGATGTTAAATTTTAAGGCTGCTGCTCCCATAGCTTTACAAAGCAACCTGTTTCCAGGGATTTATAATTTGGCTATCACTGTCTCTCTTGGCTGAACTCTGCCCACAAAGTCTGGCAGAGAACTTTGGCCAGCTAATTTTCTGAAAATGAAAAATCAAATTACTAGCTTTAAACAGCTAGGGGGAAAAAAAAATCCTGGAGTCTGTGCTTGCCAGAATCCAGTTTGCTCACACACACATATGACCTTGCACAAATCTTTGCCTGAGATTTTTGTAAGGATTATTAGTTCTGTGCAAGAAGAGGTAATAGGCCAGCTCCAATTACCCCAAAGGCTATTCTGGATGATCAGGAGGGAGTCTGCATGTGCTTACACGCTTGGTCACATTTTCTCATAACCAGTGAAGGTGCTAGAACTGTAGCTGAGCCTTTGTGTCGTGCTGTGCTAACACCATTGCCCCAATATAGGTACGTGGAGTTGGTGAAGACGGACAGCATCTTTGAACCCCATGAAAGCTTCTTCACCCTGTTCTCAGATCCCCGGAGTACCAGGCTAGCTCGGATCCACTTGCGGGAACAGATTGTGCAGGACCAGGACCTGGAAGCCATCAGGAAGCAGGTGGTATTGCACTGATAGCTTCCAGCTGCCACTTCACATAGCAGCATTGCTGCATGGGCACCAGCTAGAATCCCAAGCACCCGGAGATTCCCAAGACCCCATCCTTCACCATCCAAATTTTCTTTGGGAGAAACTCAGCTTCTCCCTTCTCAGCTCCCAAAGCCACTGTAGGGAATGGGATGGGGACACTGGTCAAGTTTGGTGATATGTGGTCGCAGGCTCTCCCAGTGGGAGGTGGTGTAGCAAATAGGGTGGGCACTCTACCTGTGAAATATTTCTAACTTTGATTTCCCATCTTCCAGGATCTTGTTGAGCTCTACTTGACTAACTGTGAGAAGCTGACAGCCAAGAGTCTGCAAACCTTGGTGAGCTTCAGCCACACACTTATCTCCCTGAGCCTCTTCGGCTGCTGTAATATCTTCTATGAGGAGGAGAACCCTGGAGGCTGTGAAGATGACTGTTTGGTGAACCCCACTCGCCAGGTCTTGGTCAAGGACTTTACTTTTGAAGGCTTTAGCCGCTTGCGCTTCCTGAACCTGGGCCGCTTGATCGAAGGGGTAAATGTGGAGACGTTGCTTCGGCCTTTGGCCTCCCTTGCAGCTCTTGATCTCTCTGGGATCCAGCTGAATGATGTGGGATTTCTGACCCAGTGGAAGGACAGTCTGGTTTCCTTAGTGCTTTACAACATGGACCTTTCAGAGGAGCACATCCAAGTGATCGCACAGCTTCGCAAGCTCAGGTCAGCAGATCTGTTCTTCCTTGTTTACCCTTTTCCCACTGATAGGGAAAGGTCTTTTAGGAACGGTCTACTTGCCTGCTAATGGAGAGCCACCCACTGCTGGTTTCAAGTTATAAACCTTCCCATGCACAGGCTCTCTCATTGACTCACTATTCATGTCTGACACGTCTAAAGCCAGCCTGCATTTTGCTTGCAAAAGGACACCACTTAGCAGAAACTCCCTCTTGGAAAAACAAAAAACAACACACACCCCCCAAAAAAACCCCACACACCACAACCGCACACACCAAAAAAAGAAAAAAAAACAAACCAAAACAAAACCAACCCTGCCCCCCAGCCAAACAAAAAAGAACAGCTGACTACCTGAGAAATGCCAAAAAAATTACTACAGATGTGTACATATACAGCGATAATCACACTGTGAAACTCAGTCCTCCAAACCACTTGTCAAACAGGAATGTCCAAAGTTTAAGCGCGGCTCTGAGGTAAAACTAGGAAAAACTCTGAGCTCAGACTGTCGCTGGCTGTGCTCTGTGGAAGCACACTGTGTATGGATGGTGCGACCAAGGGAAAAAGCAGTGTAAATAAATAGGCACTCCTGACCTAGCCATGTTGACAGTGAAACGACTTCCTGAAACAGAGTTGAGACAATTGCTATTCAAGCTGCACGGTGGTATCAGGAAAGGGATCCAAGACTTTCCAAGCCAAAGAGGAGGGCCTTACTATTCACGCAAAGGATTCTTTGCAATGGCTGTAGTATCATCTCTACTGACTGCAGACACTAGGGGGTACCACGTTAACATATGACCTAGGAGCCTCGGGGAACGTCCTGGATAAAATTTTCTTAATCCAAGTACTTAAACTCCCAGTGATTTGCAATGAAACTCGGTCTACAACGGGTGGAAGACACTTCTGTGAGTGGGATGTTGGCTCCTCTCTTAGGCAGTTTAGAAAAGGCTCTCCCAAGGGTCTTAGCTACTGCTCAGCAGGCACAAGCAGCCCCTGTCCTGTAAGGGACCCCACCTGCACATGGTGGCTGCTCAGTTTGTCCCACCACTCCCTTAGCATCAGGGTTTCCCCAAAGCTTAAGCATTTAAATACCTGAAGATAAATGAAATCAGGGCAGTGTAATAGCCTGGGGTGGAAAAAATAGAAGACCGGGGAAGCAGACAAAAACTTGTGTAACTTAATTTGCGGGATGAGGCACCACAGGTTTCTGTGGATGCGAAGATTCTCTAGTGCATCTTAATCACCAGGCAGAAATGCTCAGGTGGCTGCTGTGATGGAGCTTGGGAAAAGCAATTCCTGAGCCTGGAGCAATTTCCTTTGTGATGTGTGGCCAAATGATTAATTGTGCTCCATTCTAAGTAGACCTCTACCAGATATCTGTGTGCTTTGGTTAGACACAGGGCCAGATCCTGCTGCCAGATCCTACAGAACCACATTCCTGTATCTTGTGAAGGAAATAATAATAATAATAATAATAAATAAATAATAATAATCAGACTTGGCTTGTCATCTTCCTCTGGTAGAGAGGCAGAAGCCCCACCTAATGCTTTCCAGGCTCTGAGCTCCTCTCTGTCATTTGCAGGCACTTGGATATCTCCCGAGACCATCTGTCCAGTTATTACAAATTCAAGCTGACCCGGCGGGTTCTAAACCTGTTTGTGGAAAACTTGGTGAACCTCACTTCGCTCGATATCTCAGGGCACACCATGCTGGAGAACTGCACTATCCCAAGCATGGAGGAGAAGATGGGCCAGACAAGGTAAGGGAACAGCAATTACTGAGGTCTGCTTGGATGGATAGATCAGTCAAAGATGAATTAAGAACAGTTCCCTCTCCTAAGCTTCCAAATTCTGTAGGTCTAATTAATCTAAAAAGCAGGATTTAGCTGTGCTAGTTTCTCCTGATGCTGAAGACTGGTATGGGAATCAGCTCTGATTCTTGTATGTGACACATGTAAGGACTGTTAAGAGTAATAAAGAATTCATCCTATCTGCCTCCCATACATACCTGAAGAAGTATTTCAGCAGTTCTTTTCCACACACATTCTCCTAGGGATCTCTTGCAGTGGTTTATATTTCTTCTGAAAGGACTCCGAAGCCTTTTACACATTTTCTACACAAAACGTTCCTACCCTCACTGAAATCCAGGCTCTTCCAAGACAGAACATTTCTACACTGAATCAATACATCAATGTTCATAGGAGGGCTGTGTGTTTTAGGAACGTAGAATCTAAAGGCATATTTTCAGATTTGACCTGGATGCTGAGTGGATCAACCTTTGAAAATCCTGGTGCACCTCAGTAGGGGCATACCTAGAGGTCTGGTTTTCCAGATCAGCAAAGAACTCTGCCCTTCTGTTCCCCGAGTGCTTACTGAACAAAAGCAAACAAGTGGGAGAGTACTGTCTCCTTTCCACCCACGCTGGTGAAAAAAAAAATACTGGCTCTTGGTCAGTAAGGAACATGGCAGCAGAACTAGTGTTCTTGAGTGATCACAGAAGCAGACTAACGTATCTATCAGATGACACACTGTCCAGTTTGCAGGTAGTTTGAATCAGTGAAATCCACAAAGGAAATGTTCATCCCAGCTGTGAATTTCCAGGACAAATTCTACCTGGGAAAGCTGCATTCTGTCTGCGTGAATTTTTACTGCTGTTTCTGTTGCGCACATTTAGCCCTTCACTCAGGATCACCGGGGATGAATGTCTAATGTTATATTTAGGAGAAGCTGACTGCCATACAACTGAAGCGTAGCTATTACTCTAGTCATGGAGCACTACAGTCAGAGTGAATGGAGAGCTGATAGCTGTCTCTGTGGCAGGAGACACCTGAACAAACACAGCAGCAACATGAGTGATCTTTTGTTTTTGTTTTTTTTTTTAAATCAGCATTGAGCCAGCAAAGAGCAGCATTGCTCCCTTCCGGGGTCTGAAACGACCACTCCAGTTCTTGGGCCTTTTTGAAACATCTCTCTGCCGCCTGACGCATATTCCAGCCTACAAGGTAACGAGGCTACAAGAATATTGGCAGCAGGTGCTTGGTGGAAGTTAAAAGAATGTGAAAATCATTGGCTGCCAGTAGAGTGGAGTTCTTAGGGTCTCAGGTGTGACAACTGAGCTCTGACCTTTCAATAGCTACTTGATAATGCAGGAAAACTGCCAGAAGGCAAGACCTGTACCCCACATGGTTTTCACAAGGGTTAAAAAACATGCCTCTTAAAGAAGGGCATGGAAAAATCCTCCTGCCTGAATGACCAGGATGTCTGTGTCTACAAGAAAAGGGTTTAAGGCAATAAGACAATAGGAATCTTACTTGTGAATACCATCCTCCTGCCCCAGAGGTGCCATTTCTTGTCCATCTGGGCTGAGAAGTGACTCAACCTCTTTGCTCTCATCCTGGGCCTAATCCTACTAGCAGGGCTGAGGGAAGTTGTACCCTTCGACCTTCCAGGTCTACTCTCAGAGTTCCCTTCTCATGTTGGTTTTCCTCCTTCATCATTTCTCCTCTCACTCTTTTTGTTCCTCCATGCCAGGTGAGTGGAGACAAGAACGAAGAGCAAGTCCTGAATGCTATTGAGGCTTACACAGAACACCGGCCAGAAATCACTTCCCGGGCCATCAACCTCCTTTTTGACATTGCCCGTATTGAACGCTGCAGCCAGCTGCTGCGAGCCCTTCAGGTAAGTCCCATTTACCTCACACTTACAAGGGAAATTTTGCAGTCCCAGCCTTTTCTTCACCCTGGGACACCATATCAGGCCATTCTGGAGAAAGTCCCAGTAGTGCAATGGAACTGGGTACCTTTATTTCATAAGCATGTTCCTGCAGTGCCGGGGCCATGCATTCCTTCCAGGCTTGTGAGGGTCTTTGCCCCACACAGCCATAACAGTCACTCCAAGATTCAACAGCAAGTCAGTGGCACTGAAGCTTCATGTTGCTTCTCTGCAGCTGGTGATCACAGCCCTCAAGTGCCACAAGGATGACAAAAACATCCAGGTGACAGGCAGCGCAGCGCTGTTCTACCTGACCAACTCCGAGTACCGTATGGAGCAGAGTGTAAAGCTGCGGCGCCAGGTCATCCAGGTGGTGCTGAATGGCATGGAGTCCTACCAGGAAGTCACAGTAAGAGCGGCCCAGCCTCCTTCAGCTCCCAATGTCCTCCTTCAGCTCCCAATGTCCTCCTTCAGCTCCCAATGTCCTCCTTCCCTGTATTGTCTTTAGCCTGGTGTTAGCATCTGGGTCTTCTAAGCCTCCAGGATGTAGCCAGGGCAGACACCAGAGAAGCTATTGCCCAGATCTGCTCCTTGCCTTCACTCAGTGATGAGGATTACATGCAGGGTGCTCCTTATCCACACGATGTTCTCCAGAACAAGGGGAAGAAAGTAATTATAGCAAGGCTCCTTTTTATCTGATGATAGTGGTCAAAGGGTGTGTACAACACGCAGCACAGATGTCCAGCACTGACTGCGGGCGTTGGGGGTTTTGAGTCAACAGAAAGAAACATTATCCCAATACACTATGTTGGAAGCCAGCTGACATTATACACTGATGCCGCTGGGTTGCAGAATGGTGACTGCTGCATAGAGAGCTTACAGGCAGTGAGGAACTGGCTTGGAAGGTGATGGGCGTTGAGTGATTGTGTGGCCGTGAGACACTAGAGTGACAGCGAGAGAGAAGAGGGTACTGACAGAGCACAGCTAAAGCACAGTGCTAGACAGGAGGGTAACAGAAATTTTAGTGGTCGTAGTCAAGCAAGAAGATGCTTTCAGTACCGAGCAGCAAGGAGACATGAGGTGATGGGGTCCATGTTTCATAGCCACTTGGCCCAGCGTTTGCTTCCTTTTGACCCAGGTACAGCGAAACTGCTGCCTGACACTGTGTAACTTCAGCATTCCTGAGGAGCTGGAGTTCCAGTACCGCCGAGTCAACGAGCTGCTGCTGAACATCCTCAACCAGAGCCGGCAGGATGAATCTATCCAGCGCATCGCTGTACACCTCTGTAATGCTCTGGTCTGCCAGGTGGACAACGATCATAAAGAAGCTGTGGGCAAGATGGGGTTTGTCATGGTTGGTATGGTCCCAAGGTGTCTACTTATCCTTAACCCAGGCTAGCACAATTCCCTTGCAGCAGTCCACCAAACGTATCCAGCCAGTGATCCAACCTTACAGTATCACAGGAGGGAACTAGTGTCCTAGCATTGCTAACCTTTCCTGGAGCCTACCCCTCCAGGTGACATCTTCTACTTGCTTACCAGCACTGGAAGTCATGATCTCAGAGATAGGCTGTCTGTGAGAGCAGGGAAGCAGGGTAACCTTATACCTTACCTCTTCACCGCATCATATGATTTCCAGAACCGGTACTACCTTGTGACTAGCTCCTTCTGCATCTCCCTGAGTTTGTATCAGCTTCCCAACTCATGTCAACCCATATCCCTCACCTTTTCAAAGAACGGCAGAGGCCACTGTTTTGGTGCAGTTATACCACATTCCAAACTTTGTCATACAGATCAAAACTGACTTGACTGCAAACTCGACAGCTCGGGGACTGTGATAGGGTTCAGCTCTGTGAATACTTGCAACATTGAACATAACCCAGTCCCACTGGTTTAGAAAAAGAAGTACCAAGTAGGTTCTCTACAAAGGATCAAAACTGCATAAGCCTGCAAATCGGCTGTAGCCAGCCCTGCAGTGCTACAGCAGCTAGTTTTAGCTCTGTGATTCTTGAACTGTTTCTCACTTTTCCCCTTCCTCTGCCCACAGACAATGCTAAAGTTGATTCAGAAGAAGTTGGCTGATAAAACGGTGAGTGTTTCCCCCAAAAATGCATACATAAAGTATTTTCTCTTCAATCTGATTTAGGCATGGAGATCAGTCCAGAGTGCCAGCTCAGCTTCTCTAACACACACAAGACATCTCAGCTGATGCTGCAGAATTTCCCATCCCAGGGTGAGGGCAGGGGAATGCTACAGGGAGGCAAAAATATTAAACACAAAGCCCACTTGCTGACAAGTTGAAAATGAATAACAAGGTTTTCTTATGTCTGGAGCCATCTAGGGTGATACCAGAGAGGAAACACAAGTGGTTGGTTTGCACTGGGCTCTCACATTAGCAAAGCTCTACTTCTGTCCCTTTCTCTCCGGCTCTATAGTGTGATCAGGTGATGGAGTTCTCCTGGAGTGCCCTCTGGAACATCACTGATGAGACCCCTGATAACTGTGAGATGTTCCTTAACTACAGCGGCATGAAACTGTTCTTGGAGTGCTTGAAAGTAAGTATGTCTGCTTTCCTCTAGAGGAATGCTGACATTAGCAGTGGAGATGTAGGTGCCTGGGCAGGATCCCTGGCTAGGCTAATCTATAAGCAGTACTTCCTATGTTGCATAAAGAGAAAAGAAAAAGCTTGCATATTTTCTTCTTTCTCACATCCATCCACCCAACCAACCAGTAGAAGAACAGAGAAACTTACACTCAACACATCTTCCTCTTTTCCCATCTTGTACACAGTCCCCCTTAAGTAGAGCAGCAGTGAATCATGGGCCCTGGCCTCAATTCTCTCATTTCACATGTATCTTGAACACTGGAGATCCCATTTGGCATCTGCTAAAGAGCCATCGCTGACTGCCCAAAAATACTCAACCCTTCTAGGTGTGCTGTACAATCTTTCTCCAGGGTTGCCTGTTCTCAGCATCTCCACAGCCCTCCTTTTGTATAATCCTGTCCTTTGCTTGCTTAGGAGTTCCCAGAGAAACAGGAGCTGCATCGCAACATGCTGGGCCTCCTGGGCAACGTAGCAGAGGTGAAGGAGCTCCGCCCGCAGCTCATGACCTCCCAGTTCATCAGTGTGTTCAGGTGAGTGCCTGGCTAACGAACAGCTGGGCTGGGCAGGGTGAATGCTCTGGAGCTCTGCTCCTGAATCACCCGGCGACTTTTAAACCTCTGGTGCATCGGCATCTCTAAACGATCTCTTCTCTCTTGGCAGCAACCTGCTGGAGAGCAAAGCAGATGGGATTGAGGTATCCTACAATGCCTGTGGTGTGCTCTCCCATATCATGTTTGATGGTCCAGAGGCTTGGGGTATATGTGAGCCCCACCGAGAGGAAGTTGTGAAGAGGATGTGGGCAGCCATCCAGAGCTGGGATATCAACTCCAGGAGAAATATCAATTACAGGTGAGGAATAGAAAAGTTTGGCCCACTCGCCTGGGAGCCAGGATTGCCACAGGAAGCAAGCAGCAACAGGGAGAAGGGAAGAGGTATAGCCCAGTATGGAGGCTCTGTTTAGAGTGAAGGAGAAACATCCTCAGGGACATACTTAGTGGGGGTTTTACATCTTCCTTTGAAACATGTCACACAGGCTGCTGAAATTGGACACCTTGCCTGGCAATTCCTATGGGAGAAGTGTGGGAGCCCAACAGAATTTCTCCTGCATGTGTCTGGTGAAATTGCGTAGTTCAGGAAACCCTTGATCTGACTATCTGGGACTGCCTAAGCATTTTCCTCCGAGACTACTGTCCTTTGCACCTCTTTAAGTCTGTTTCCTTCTGAAAGTCACGTGGATTGCTGTAGCATTCACTCTCCTCTGGGGGATATTTAGACACAGCTCCCAGAAATCCCTTCAAGGGTTAATACAACTGGTGGAATCCTCCAAAGCCCTTCCTGTAAGAGGGTATCAGGTACTCCGTATTCCCTTAGTGCTTGGCAGGGATCCAGAACGACTGGCATTCCAGTGCCTGTTCTACAGTATAGACACATTATTGTTGTCAGAAGAAACACAGCAACCATTGCACGTGAGCAGCCAGCTTTGGCTGGGTATAATTTTGCTTTGGCCCATCTACAGAAAGATCAGTGCTGCTGGGTTTCAGCTGTCGTGAGGAAATGACTGACAGAGGATGGAAATCAGTTCTTGGACTCAGCTGCATTCGTTGCAGCTATTTATCTGGGCAGCATGTTTATGCTAACGTGGTAGGGCCTGTAAGCCTGCCAGTATTGCCGTGTGACACAGACTCAGTCTTTGATGCCAGAATCTTTGACATGCCAATGGATTTACTGCTATGGTATCTATGAGCACCGTTTGTATTGCTTTGAGTGGCAAAGGTGCTGAAAGAAGCAGCTCTTGGATTTTTAACAACTTTGCAATATTTCTGTGCAGGTCATTTGAACCAATCCTTCGACTTCTTCCACAAGGGATCTCCCCAGTCAGCCAGCACTGGGCTACCTGGGCACTGTATAACCTGGTCTCTGTCTACCGTAAGTTCCCTTTTCAAAATCACGTCCATTGCACTGTAAAAGTTGAGGATCTGAGCTTGTTAGCAGAAAAAGTCTTCCCAGTTTAGCTATGTAAGTAGAGAGAACCTTCTTTGAATGATGCAGGAATGTCCAGGCAGCACAGCCAAACAAGAAACAATGAGACTTGGTGTGTAGGAAATTCCTGCAATGTTTTGATCCTTCTGGTCATGCTCTTATGTTCTCAGCCGTTTTGGGTCTGTTGTTTTCACAACCAGGGCACCCCTAGCAGGCTGGCTCCATGAAAAAGAAAAGTTTTGTGGCTTTGCAGGCCACAGGCTTCTCCTTCCCCTCCTGCCACCCTTTATACCACTCTTGTGAAGGCTCACAAGGACCTGTTTTATTCTTTTCTCTTCTCCGCAGCTGACAAGTACTGCCCACTGCTGATCAAAGAAGGTGGGATTCCCCTTCTGAAGGACATGATTAAAATGGCCTCAGCACGGCAAGAGACCAAGGAAATGGCCCGGTAGGAAACCAATGCACTATCATCAAACATTCAATTTAGCTTTAGTTTAGTTTTTATTCTTCTACATCAAGTAAGGCTACCAAAGAAGGGCCTGTACTGATGTGTACGAGGGGTAAGAAGCGAACACAGGAGAAGAGCAGGAAAAGAGGATGAAAACAGAAGACTAGAGAGGTGTTTATGGGTGGGCAATACACACAGACCATTCAGGGTTGATGGATGGCGGGCAAATTGGTTATAGAAGTGGCTTGTTGGACAGGGGAGCCACATGGCTAATTGCATCTCTTATGCCGATAGTCTCCAGTCATCACTATTCTCCATACTTGTGTGGGCTCCCTGTCCAGAATCATACTGGCCTGTCACTAAAATTGCTGACTGCACAGTTAAAATGAGAGGATTTTTCAAAAGAGAGTCTATGACCTTTCTGAGCTTCCCCAACTTACTTTGTTACGTGACCTTCCTTTGGAGTCATTCTTTCAGTTTTAAAAGCCAGCTGCAGTTTCTAATCATTGGCAAACTGAGCGTTATGATTTCATACCTGCAGGATGAATGTAAGAGAGATGTAGAGAGCGGCTGGGAACATGTTCCTTGTGGGTGGGCAGCAGGCATTCCCCACAGCTAAAGGGTTGCTAAACGCTGGAGGTGACTGAAGCCTGCAGAAGACTCTCACGGGCAGATTGTGTATGGTGATGGGACGGTGCAGGAATGGTAAATGAAAAAAATAGGAAAAGCAGGGACAGATGACAGCAGAGGGAATGACAAACATCTGTATGCACATGTTTCCTGATGTGATTCAAAGTTTATCTGACAGTTTGGTTATGGGGGTCACATATGGATCTGGCTGTATACTACCATGACTTGAAATTCCGTGGGAATGAACTGTGAGCTCTAAGGAGTGGAGTATACTGGTTTTGACACAAATACCAGCTGATGCATATCTCAGAAGAGACTGCCTGCTGCACATAGTCTACGTTTACACAGAGATCGAGCTGTTGGACAGTTCTCATGTCTGTCCCGCAACTGTCGTGCAACAAGCTTTAAACTAAACCCTTTCTCCTTGTCCTTGTTTTATCCATAGGAAAGTTATAGAGCACTGCAGTAACTTTAAGGAGGAGAACATGGACACTTCCAGATAGAGGCAATCATCTAATGCCTCTTGCCAGCACTGTATCCAGCTTCTCTCTAATTCACTGTATATAGGGAGGACTCTTTCTTACCAACTCGCCTGTTGGAAGGAAACTTTATGTGTGTGTGTGAGACCCTCAGTAGATGAATGTGAACAGGGGAGGGGGGAGGGACTTTTTGCACAACAAAATGCTTTCCTTAAATTAGTGGACTTTTTTGTTATGAAGTTTCAGGTTGAAGTTCTGTGTGTATGATTTCTGTATAAAAAGAAAACAAAAAACAAAGACAACTACATTATGTATCTTTTAACCTTTTTATTTTAGACCACACAGAGAGCCTCAAATGATCATGAGCTTGAAGACCTAGTTGTGTGATTGCTAGTGTGACATTTTTATTTCCCACTTTTTAGAAAATTCCCTTTTGCTGTATTGCATGAGGTCCTGTAATGTCTGCAAGAACACCGGTCCTGAATTGGCATTGGCTGCTCAATGGGATTACAGGCAGTGATGAGTTATTTATGTGGTTGGAGAGGCTGGGGGACACCATACCAGAGAGACCAAAAGAACCGACCTTTTTAGTGATATTTGTAAATGGAGGAAATGGGGAAGAAAGATCTTTCAAGTCAATTCACTCCCTTGAGGGTTTTTTATAGAAGACTCACATCAATGGAAGCATTGCTAACTGTATGTGGGTCGTTTGGAAGTAAGACATTCCCATTAAAGTCAAGAGGTCTGTTTTGTCCCCTTTGGCAGTACAGTAGGATCTGCCAGCCCACCCAGCCTCGTAAGGTCAGGGATGACCAGTAAAACCAGTTACACATCCTTGGCAACACAGAGCTTTTCTCTTTAAGGGAGCCTGTGCAGCAAGGAACAAGGTTTGTTCACAAAGGGCTACACATTTTCATTCCAGTCCTTCACCGCCTTTTTAGTTGTGTTGTGTTTTATGGGGAAGGGCTAGAAATGCCAGAGAGCGTATTTCCCCTCTGCATAATAAGCTCTACCAGGCCCCAGTCCAGAGCGGCTTGTACCACTTGTGCAAGTCCCAGTAACGGACTGGAGCTGTTCCGCTCTTCTTCAGTCTGCATCAGCGCAAGCCGTGCTCAGTGGGAAAGTAATCTCCTTTTACAGGAAGCTCAGTGCAGCACAAATGCTGTAATTGGAGGTGCTAAAGTCCTCTTCTGAGACTGGGGAGTCTCCAGGCACCCTTTGGAGGGTGATCCCATGATTCCACCCCAGCATCCTCCCTCTCTTCTTGGGAGCAGAAGGCCCTATTCTTACCTGACTCCCACCAGCACTTACCAGTGCAGTCCCGCTCCCATCAGCAGCACTACTCCGATTTATATGATGTAGGTGAGAGTCCCACTAAGGTGGTCTTCACCTGGAAGACTCTAGACCTATAAAGGCTCACGAAGCCAAAGGCCAAGGTTTGCCTGACAGCCAGGCACTCGACAACACAGTGTGCAGTCCACGCTTCGAGCCCTCTGCTTGCCACAGTTCTTTCACAATTCACAAATCTTCCCTTAGAAGGGATTTAGAAAAGATGTTATGTCTGGTAGCAGTAAGAGGAGACCATGGCCATGTGAGTTAGGACATTTCAGGCCTCTGAGCACAGTAACCCTCGCTGCTCTTTCCTTGTATACATTGCTCTCAGATTTGACTCGCTGCTATGAGGTTCTTCTAATGCTCAGAGTTAATGTTGTCATTGCTGAGCACATTATAGACAGATCCTAGATACACAAACTGACACTTTAAATGACAGAACACAGCTGCCCTGGAGAGGTTTACTTTTTCTGCCAATATGGTGTTATTCAATGTCTTTTTTTTTTTTTTTTCTTTTTAACCATACGTCATTTGTTTTGATATTGTGAGATCTGTACTTTTTTCTTTAAGTATTTTTCAAACTTATATATATTTTTGTGTCACTTTTGAATTGTTTTCATATGGTTTGCAAAACTTGACAAATTATACTTTTTTGCAGTCGTTTGATTGAAATGTATTTTTCTCTCTCTTATTCCTGTTCCCCAAGAATTTGTGTCCGTATAAGCTTTGAGACAGGGAAGCTTATTTCAAGATCTGTTTTCTGTATAGCATTTGCTAATCTTCCTTCTAGATGCAAATACTGCCAACCAGCCTCGGAGCATTAGGGGGGGTCAGGCTTTGCTCATTTAATTCTCCATTTAGTGCTGCTGTCCTTTGGAAGTTGTTTCACATGACAGTGCCACCCACTAGGCTTTCTTCCTTTCTAATGCCCACATAGTGAACGCTCCTACCACTAAAATCTTGAATCACGTGACAAAGAGCACTCAAGATTCTGAGTATGTTGGCAAGGTGGGATTGAGGCAGAAGGGGACACACATCACAGATGTGAGAGGTATCAGAAACCCACGTCCCCAGAACGCAGCTGCCATGCTGGGGAGACGACTGGAGCTCAGGAACTCCCGACTCAGCTAGAGCAGACCTCAGCCTTGCATTGCAATCAGAGCCAAACAATCAGGCTTTATGCTGAGAATTTTGGCACAACTACATCAAGGTTAATGAACAACCCATGCCTTGGTTCTATCTGCCTCAAGACCCCAAAGGTCTGGGTTTTTCAAACCAGTGCCCCTATTAAGTTCAGCTATTACTGAAGTTTCACCTGCTACAAGCTGGACCATGGTATCCCAAACTAACAAGATCCAAGCTGCATCAAACCTTTGTTTCACACTGTAAAGATAACCTCTATCCTCGCTGCTCACGTATCCTCATCAAGCTGTACCTGAGCCTGAAGCAGGATAAAAAGATTTCAAATTCCCAGCAACATGGAGATTGATGGAGTCAGGCCAGCCTGCCAGAAAAGCTTAGCTTTCTGAAATCTGTCACTGATCCCAGGAGGAGGAGGGAGCTACAACTGGCCTGTTACACCTAGCTACACATAAGATTTTGAGTCAGGCCACCAGCAAGGTAAATTCCTGAGACAGCATTTTAAAAGAAATAGCATCCCTGTTAGAGTAACATCAGCTTTGGCTACAAGCTTCAGTGTCAAGCCAACAGACTTTGTGAGCTGCAAAATAACATTTACTTTCAGTAAGGAGCAAAAGAGAGAAAGGTATCCTCTGAACACCTGAGCGTAATCCAGGAATTCCTGTAATCAGGACTTTGAAACTAGGTTGTACCTTGGGTTTCCCTAACTGAAACAACGGGAGTTGTTTCACCCTAGGCATAATGCATGTACCATGACCTGGAAGCACTTTTTGGAGGCAAAGAGGAGTTGATGAATTGCTGCCAGCAATTGTAGATCCAGCGCTCAGGGCAGAACAGGGTAGTTGTCTGCAGCCATCATACCACTATTCTGCAAAGGAGGAGAGGGCAAAGGGGCTGATTTTTTATGAAGGTCTAATGTAAAAGGGGAAGTTGGATAGCCTGAAATGCTTGACTGTTACAGAGAAGGCTCTCAGGACTTCCAGCTTTCCTGGAGCAAAGGAATGAACCAAGGGACTTCAGCTCCACACAGAATTACAGAGCCAACGACCGACCCTGCCCAGAAAACTAGAACAGGGTTCTATCTGTCAAATGAGAATCCAGCTGGAGAGAAGTTCATAGAGTGTAAAGATATGGCAGAGGGGCTCCTTGTGCTCCGTAGTTGTCATCCCATTCAGACTCATTCATGTTTTCACTACTACATTTCCTTTAATATTCAAAAGCTTGGTAAGCAGAGCACGAACACAACTCAGGAGTTCTCTGCAGAGACTGTGCCAACAAAGGAACCCTCTTAACTTGTACGTAGTTTCCTTCGTGGCTGGAGGATGCTTGGTCATTCAGTGGCCCAAGTCAGTGATGCAGCAGGGTGTCAGGTGTCTGCCATTTTCTCTGGAATAGATAAGAGAGCAAATTAGTGGGCAACTTTCCACAAGTGCTTCCATTTTACAAGATCTGTGGGAGGAATTGCTTATAACAATTGGCATCTACTTGTGTGATGCTTAACACCCAGTAGCACCAGACTCATCTAAACCAAGCCAAGAAAGTTTAGCGCCAATATTTGTGGCAATTAGTAACATTGCAGATAATTCATCTGCCCTATCTGCATCATGGCTGCTATTATCCTGCACCTACCTACTGGCTGAAATGATCTCTGTTCAGCACTGAATCCTACCCAGCCTGCCACCTTGGCTCGGCTTCTGCTGCAAAAGATGAGTGGGAAGAAAAGTCTTGGAGCTGTGAGCCTATTGCCCTCTCATCACTTGAAGAAGGCAATTAATTACCAGTAGAGCAAGAGCTATAGGGGCACTGCATTCAGGCACTACTCCACAGAAAATATGTTTTCTTGAGACTGTTTAGAGAGGAGCCTGCCACAGCTCAGTGTTAGAGGGTAGCTTGTGCTGATAAAAAGAGAATTAGAAGTAGGGGAAACAGCTGGTCTCCGCGACAACCATGTGTATGAAGCACAGAGGGTAATGGTTGTCAGGAATGGATGAAAAGCAACATGGGGGCTGGATTAGAAGACAGCACTTAAAAAAAGGAACGAGGGAGATTTCCTG